CGCAGATTCACTGGAATAATTTTTCAAATAAGAGATTTACGAAGAAAAGAAAAGCATACAAAACAGGAAAAAAAAAAGAAAAAAAAAGAAAAAAAAAGGTGGGCATGCTGACCTGCTCTGCCAAAACTTCAAACTCAAAGCCAAGCTGGCTTAAAGCATCGGCATATTGGTCCCGAATGCCAAGGTTGATGACACTATTCGACAAGGAACGACCTGACAGCTCAAAAACAATAATATTTCAGTAGAGCAAGCCAGAAGCTACATCAAACAGATACATACAGCACTTGAATTAGGAACTCATGAAAAACTACAAGTCACATCACTGCAAGATTAATCTATCCGAGGCCGATGATTAACAGACAGTAGCATCAGCAAAAGTGCATAGATTGGATAAAGCAACTCCAATTGAAGTACACAAATAATACCCATAAGAAACTCAAGCGAGAGGAAGTATACGCGCTTAGGGTCTTTCCTCTTGAAGTAAAGTTGAGTATCATGCGAACGCTCGATCAGCCGGTCTCTCACACTATGCGCTAGAGCCTTCAAAATACCCATAAAATTAAATAAATACACATTTGATTAACTTTAACAAAACTCAGAAAACCCAAATCAAAACAAAATCATAAACAATCAAAAGTGAAGAACTTTTCCCGCCAAAATTGAGAACACACAACTTCTGCACTCTTGTGCCAAATTTGGAAGCTGCTAGATCAAAACAAACGGAAAATTAAGCCAAAAGACTACAAATTTTCAAGTGACATTACCTGATAAGCCTCAAAGTCATCGAAGCTGAAGCGGGACCTGGCCACCGTGTACTCAACGTGATGAAGAATGTCTTTCTGAAGGCTAATTGAGTCATTTTTCAAGAACCCATCCATTAGCGCGAACATCCTCTCGGCCTTAGCGCCGTCCGAGCCAAATGTCAGGCCTAGACCCGACCCGGGACGGCGGACTACGACGCCCCTCGTGGTGGGACTCGTGGGACCAACAGAGATCGAACCACCGTCCTCGATGGCTTCCGCCAGGGCATTCTTGATCCGCTCGAGGTTCTCCGGGTCGCTGATCTTCGCGCCGCGGGAATCGGTGACGAAGAACCGCTTTACGAAGTATTCACCCTCGAATTCGACGGTGGCCTTGTCGACGTGGAGGCCGAGGACTTTGAAGACGCGGGTGATGACCTGGAGGAGGCCGATGCGGTTCCGGGCCCGGATCACGAAGACCGTGGCGGACGGGTCGGATTCGGACTCTGGGATTTCGACCGTGACTGACGACGTGGCGGAGGGCGGTTGGGCGGCGGAGGCGCGTATCGGTTTTGCGACACGAGTGCGGGTGTAGGGAACCGAAGAACGGCGTGGTCTCGAGCAGGTTCGAGAATGTTGCGGAAATGGAGGGGGCGGAGAGGTGGAAGATGAGTATGCGAGCTTCGGTTGGTCATTGATGGGGAGAAATCGTGACGATATCGTCGACATTGTAGAACTTGGGTGTTTGCAGAGATCGCATTCGAGTGTAGAGAGAGAGAGGTTGGGGGTCTAGAGGTAGACGACGAAGGAGGGACCTTTGAGTGCAATCACAGGGAGTCTGTGAGTGAACGACCGTGATGGTAGGAAAAAGGGGTTTTTGGACTTTTCGGTTTTGGAGGGGAAGGGTGAGGATAGCAAGTGGACGACCTCATGTGTTTATGGTGAGCTTTCGTTATTTCTTGTCTCATCAAATAAATAAACAAATCATCAAGAATATATTACTCGTACATAAATTATTGATTTGCTCTATACATTTGAATGACTAAATAATTTATCATTAAAATGGTTTTTTTATAGGAGTGACATTCAAATGAACGTAAAGAAATTGAATTGTTCTGATTTTGAAATTTATACGATGAAGATACGTTATTCTCAAGAAAGAAATGAGTTCATCACCAAAAAGAAATGAAATAAAATAAAATTGCAATGAGGCTGAGCTGGTTTGAGAAGCGATTATAAATTACCAAAAGTTAGAATTTTGGAGTTGAAGGAGATGATTGCACAATAATTAATTAAATGGATCCTCGTCATTGGATCCAATGAGCAATGGGATTGATGAATCTTGTGGATGCGTAGATAAAAAGGCAATCTTCATTGGTTTTGGCAAAAGGCAAAGCAAGATGAGCAAGCAAATCGTACATGGCACACACATTGCAAAGCCACCCCCACACCATCATATTATCAAGAGCAATTTACGTGGTACGAAAATTTAATTATTTTAATATTTCACGGCCATAATACAAAATTAAGCAAAAAAAGAATTACACGTACCATTACAACCCCCAACAAGCTTTTGATACTTTTCACCGGAGATGGTCTCTTGCATCACAAGGTGCCGGCGAACTTCCCCATCATTCTCCAAGAATAGCTTGAGCAATTCTTGAAAAATTTACTCAGCATTGCCACGCCCGGTTGCGTCTCAAACATTGGCGTGGCACTCTAGTGCCTTAGATTCCAAAACACTATATGAGGCACAACATTCTCTCTCTCCTTATACCTCCTTTGTGCTTTGTCTTTTTCTGTTGGCCAATTTCGAAATGAAACTTTGGGTTTCATCTTTACTTAAGTGAAATGTCTTAAATTCGATTCTCACCAAAGGAGAATTTTAATCATATTATTGCTAGCTCATTGTGAAGTTAAACTCACACTCTCTCTATACTACAGATAATATCGTTTGTTCCAAATTTTTTTTTTTTTTGAAACTTTAGGTTTCTAGTTGGGCCTTTTAGACCATCTCCAACCCTTGGCCTAAAACCTAAAATTTTTAGCCCATAAAATTTAGGTTTTAACCTATAAATAGTTTTTCTGCTCAAATCCTTATAGCCCAAATTTTTTAGCCCGAAATTATTAAAGATTTAGGCTAATTTTTTCTTTTAAGTAATTTTTTTTTTTAAATTATGTACACTATCTGACACACCCCGATCCAGAATGTCCACCTGGACTCCGAATCAGGTTGTGTTGGCCTCCATGCGACGAAACTATAAGGTGTAGTGATGTGGAACATGTGAATAAATTTAAACCTAAAAGTGCCTAATTATAAGAGTGCGCTAGTGAGCCACACGTGATGTCAGAGCATAAGTAAAGTACAATAAAGGTAAAAGGGGAATTATACCATCAGTAGTATTCCCACAACAACAGTTTGCCAGAAATCCTCGTCGACACAAAAGCTCAGCCACTAAAACCTGTAGGGCAAAAAACAAGGGTGAGTGAGCCTAAAAATAAAGTTTTATAAAAAAACCTTTTCGAAAACATAATAACCCCTCATCGTAAAACAAGTATAGTTTTCAAAATATACATACTACGTATAGTAAGAAAATTCTTACCGTGCCTGCAATATCTCAAGAATTCAATACGGCACAATATTTCATAAGTAATCACACGACGTTCATAATCGTATAAGCTCGCATAAGCAATATATCATATCAAGTGCTCATCGACACATGATAACACACGAGTTTATGCAAAGATATTATGACGTGAACATGACTGGGTGTAACAATGATATACACTTTAGTACTACAATCACATGAAGACTAGCTCTATGTGCAGCACATACAAGTCCTATTTGCCTATAGCAATCTAGGATAGGACTGGCACCTACAATGGATCCAAAGTGAGCGTACAGTGCGATGTGCACATACATGTGAAATATTGGCTCTGGCCTGGGCGAGTACCAACACCGGTGCAACAACGATGAGCAAATAATGTAATTACGATCACACAACAGTAAATCGACAATTCACATTGACATAATAATAAATAAAATATTAATCATGGCCGTAATTAAAATCCCATAAAGGTACGTATACCTGTGCATCCTGTAGGATTTATGATTATTTCATAATTTTCCGTTATTTTGCTAATTCTTATAAGCATTAGTCTAACCTAGGCATTCGTAGGAAACTCTTTTTTAAATGTATAAATGGAAACTAAATTGGCATATAATATTTAAAAGCAAAAACTCACTCACAGATACTTGCGAGGACATAGTCGTTCGAACCAGGAAAGCCAAAGTCTCCAATAGTAATTGCACCTAAGCATATTATTGGGACTCATTAGTAAAACTCAACTTAAACGACTAAATTTGGGAAAATGAAGTGCGGATTCAGAATCAAAGCGTCAAAATACGCTACGGGGGGTCCCAGGAAAATTTTATAAAAAGTAAGTAGTCAACGAAAGTCAATACTCTCGCCTCTAGGGCATTTTCGTCAATTCACATTTTTAAAATTTATAAAATCGTAAAATTAGGGATGGATTGTCACACTATCCTAATTTAATTTTATGAACATTTTAACCTAAAAATATTTAGATTCCGATAAATATTGAAAAATCATTACATTTGGGTGAATTTTGAGTTAAATAAAAATTTTAATTAATTTAGTCGTTGTATTTAAATATGGACACTTAGATCTTTTTTGTTACTATTAGATTTAATTATATTCAATTTCAACCGTTGGATTTAATAAATCCTAAGGGACATGCCTACATGAGTGGGGTTTTGCTGGTGCTGCCCACACCATTTTCTGGGCTATTTCTGACTTTGTTTTAGGTTTTAGGTTTTAGGTCCAATTTTAAACTTGGGTTGGATTTTTTTTTGGGGGGGGGGGGAATATAAGGGAGAAAATAGGTTATAGGCTAGAATTGGAAATTGTCTTATATGATTACCAAATTTCCCTCCAGATCGTTTTGGTGAGAATCCTAGAGCTCCGTGAATCGTGTCTATTCATCGTACATCATGCGATCAGTTTCTGTCAAGTACTATTTGTGTTTAATTTTAAATAAAAATATTTAAAATAATTTATAACCGTATGATATACGATGGATAGATACGATTCACGGATCCTCCGGAATTCTTTAAAAATGATCTGGTGAGGATCCGGATTCACCAAATTTGACCCAACAGAATTTGCATTACCACGTCATTATTTACAAACAAAAACCAGAGAGTGAACTTTATCTCGAAAGTTCCACACCGCTCTGGTTCCTTCCACAAGTAGGCCTCTTTTCCCTTCCACATCCCCTGTTCGTCAAATAATCTCAAAGCATCTTCCGATATAAATTCACAGCCTTCAAGCACTCGAGCCATCGGCAAAGCTTTTTGCAGGAAGATAATAATAATTACAAGGCAAAAACAAGGAGAAAAAAAGAAGAAGAAGAGATGGGTGTGGATTACTACAAGCTTCTGCAGGTGGACAAGAACGCCAGCGACGACGATTTGAAGAAAGCTTACAGAAAGCTCGCCATGAAGTGGCACCCTGATAAGAACCCCACCAACAAGAAGGAAGCCGAGTCCAAGTTCAAACAGATCTCTGAGGCCTACGAGGTTCGTTTTCCTTGCACTTTTCTTCTTTCACTCTGTTTTTTTTTGAGGAATTTATATTGATTTCGGTTGAAATTAGTGTTTTTTAATCTGATAAGAGAAGGTTTTTCATCTGGGTTTTGGATTTCGAAGCTAAATTGCCTGTTTTTTTTTTCATCTAAAAATTCCTCAAACGGCATAAAAATTCAATCTTCTCACGTTTTGTAGATTTATACAGGAACACTTTTTTAAAACTAAAAATTCAATCTTTGCACGTTTTTGGAGACTATAAATAAAACCCAGAACCTGGAATCTGATTTTCTGTGTTTTTATTTTGTAGGTTCTGAGTGATCCCCAGAAAAGAGCAATTTATGATCAATACGGAGAAGAAGGCCTGAAAGGCCAAGTGCCGCCGCCGGATGCCGGTGGGCCTGGCGGTGGAGCTACCTTCTTCCAAACTGGGGACGGTCCAAATGTGTTTAGATTCAACCCCAGAAACGCCGACGACATTTTTGCTGATTTCTTTGGGTTCTCGAGCCCCATGGGTGGAATGGGAGGCGGAATGGGCGGTGGCGGCATGAGGGGTGGAAGGTCTTTTGGTGGAATGTTTGGGGAGGACGTGTTCAGTTCATTCGGAGAAGGCCGGCCCATGAGTCATGCGCCACGAAAAGCTCCACCTATAGAGAAGAGGTTGCCTTGCAGCCTTGAGGAGCTGTACAAGGGGACTACCAAGAAGATGAAGATTTCGAGGGAAATCGCAGATGCAAGCGGGTAAGTTCCTAATTCTTACTCAATTTATGCAAGGAAAACGATTTCCGCCCATCTTTTTCTCCATTCGCACAATTAGTCATGTTCGTTGATTATCCTTTGATTTACTCACTTTCCTGTTGAAAAAGTAGGTGCTCGTGATTAAATTATTCATCAATTTCAACAATGTCAGCATTTGACTGCTTACTAATGTTAGTTTAATGTAGCCGATGTGAGTTAGGTTAGATGACAGGTTCCCGCCATCTTGCACTCAAGTTTGACTTTCTCTTTCCGTAGATTAGAATAGTTTAGAATGCATGTTAGCTAAAAAGAACGCTAGTTTTGCGTGTTGTGTATTTTGGGTTCTCATCTTTTGAAAGTACTAGTAAATGAATGTGTTGGAATTATGTTACGCAGGAAGACCATGCAAGTGGAGGAAATACTAACCATAGAAATCAAGCCTGGCTGGAAAAAGGGAACCAAAATCACCTTCCCGGAGAAAGGGAACGAGCAAGGAAACATAACTCCTGCGGATCTTGTGTTCATAATCGACGAGAAACCACACAGCACATTCACAAGGGATGGGAATGATCTTATTGTCACGCAGAGGATTACTCTAGCAGAAGCTCTAACAGGTTACACTGTCCGCCTGACCACCCTAGATGGAAGGAGCCTCACCATCCCCATCAACAATGTGATTAGTCCAGACTATGAGGAGGTAGTCCCTAGGGAGGGCATGCCCATACCCAAAGACCCCTCCAAGAAGGGTAACCTCAGAATCAAATTCAACATCAAGTTTCCGACAAGATTGAATGCCGAACAGAAGGCCGGAATTAAGAAATGCTTGCAGGCTTGATCAGAATTCGAGCCGATGTGCTATGTGAATCCAAGGGCGCTTGTGTATATTTTTTGGATGGTTGGGATCTTTGTATTACTAGTTTGTCTTTGTAAGGTTAAACATTTGTTTGTCCAATAGAACACTGAGCCATTCTAGCTCTTACCAAAGCAGCGAATAAAGCCTTTGGTCTCAGCTGAATTTCATCTTTTAATTTCTATCTTTGGATCTGACGCTTGAAAATTGATTCAACGACTAAATTAAGAGAGATTCTTGAGATGTAAAGTAAGCGTGTGCCAGCACAAGTGATGTTTAAAGGAATGGTTCTGATTTTTGAGAGTCTCCTTGAAGTTTCTCAAACTAAAAATACAAGAACATGTGTTGCTTGCGGTGGAAGTAACTTGCTCACCTTTTGATTAGGTAAATAAATGGTTTTGTTACACGCTTAATGACTTACGCGTTACACCACAAAACTATTGCAGCTCCCCCTAAACCAGTATCCTCTATCAATACACTACCACTTAACAATTTAATCCATAAAATGGAAATGTTAATCTAATAATTATAATAGCAAAAATCAAGATTTGGGGAGGCCGATATCGATTTCCGTCACCAGGATGAGACGAGCAGCTAGTAAAGCTGCATTATCTAAAACTGTATGCAGCCAGGGTACCTCGGTTGCGCAGAGGCAGTTCATAATTTGATCTTCATTCACTATAGTCATCTGAACTTTCCGACTCTGTGCCATCATCGTTTCTCATCGCGTTTGGCATTTCATCCGAGGCATCACTCATATCGACATCTACATCCCCTTCTGAATCTTCGTCTCTCACTTCTTCCATGACGTTATTGTCATCTTCAGAAGTATCCAAATCGTTGTCACTAGCTTCTACTAAACCCCTGTTCCATCCGCTGGAAGTCCCATCAAACCCAATTTCCCAGTTACCTTGTCCATATCCCACTGCTTGTTCGTCGTCTTCAGATTCCAATGCGCCTCCTTGTTCATATCCTTCTCCTAACTCTCCTTGTTCATATCCCTCTCCCAACTCTCCTTGTTCATATCCCTCTCCCAACTCCCCTTGTTCATATCCCTCTCCTTGCTCGTCACCTTTCATATCGATCTTTTCATCATCCCATTCCTCAGCCAAGTTTCTTGGCGATTCTCCTCCACTCTCAGGGCTGCTGCGTATGTCACTCATACGGCCCAGAGGTGTCCCCTCAACAGCCCTGTTCTTCATTCTCCTCTTTCTAACAGTTCGGCGACCCCGTCCACTCCCTTGTCCCTGCGTTCGTTTTCCCACAGTTCTCAACCCTTGACTCAAATTCTCATTACCCCTAATGTTCCGACGACTTGCCACTGATTTGGGATTATTCACCTTTTTCTGCCACCTTTTACCGCGTCCTTGCTCTCGACCTCCTCTACCACGTCTAAAGCTGTTTCGTCCACTTTTCAGGTGAGTACTGTTGTCTTCCCTCGTGTACTCATTGAGGCCTGCTTCTGTTAGTTCAGTCTCACTCCTCGATGCCAGAAGTCTCATAGGTTGATTCTGTAGACGAAAAAAGCACATGTAAGTTGAATGACACGGTGGAAGATGTATATACACCACCAATATCAATTCAACATCTATGGAATTTCATAAAAGCTGTCTTTTAAAGATTTGCATGCTTTTCTGTCACTAAGTTTCCAGCAGATTCTCTTTCAATTTATTTATTTTTGCTGGGAATACCAAGAGTGAGAGCAGACAGAAAAAGGGAACTCACAAGATATTCTCCCACTTCCTTGTCCGCGGTGGGCTCAGGTGTCGCTTGCTTTACATATGTAATTGCTGAATCTATCTCATGAAGCCTCAAAGCCACGGCTGCAGTGGTAAGTGGTATCCAAGGAAGTACAGGAACGGATCCATTGTCAAGATAATCGCGAACAACCCCCAGCTGTTTGCAGGAGCCCAGCAATTCCTCCGTCAGTGCAAAGTGTGATGACAGAAAGTCTTTCTTCACAGCAGTCTCAAACAGAGTCAATGTCTGCAAGGAAGTTTGTCCAAAAATGAGCAATTTATCATATAACAAGTATGGGAACAGACATACGGGGAGCCATGGTCGTACAGGCCCAAAAACTCACGGGTGAGTTGTGAATAGAATAGCATGGAGAAAAATGGATGTGAAATTGATGGATAAACACGATACTTTTCATTTTGTTTGTAAAAAACAAAAAAAAGGAAATCAGAAAAACAAAATTTCTTGGCGGAAGTTTAGATCAGGATATAGGGTTGAGCATAAGATAAAACAAGTAAAGGGATAGAAACCTGTAGAAGTTCTTCCATTGATGATGACGCATTCAGTTTCTCTCCCCACATCTTTCGACGGTCTTCAATCCAAACTGATTGAAGAGCCTCTGGTGGGGTACATACCTGTGAAACAAAAAGTGAGTGATACGTAGACTGAATAAAAATCAAGCGTGGATACATTAGATGCCAGCAGAACCCAAGGTGTAAAGCATTAGTATCTCACCTCAACAAGACCTATTAATGCCTTGAGCAATCTCCTGGCCAAGGGAACAGAAGTACAAGGAATATGGAAATCCCAAGGTTCCAACGTCCTTTTTCTTTTACATTGAATTACATGTTCATTAAAGTCAAAATTTCCGTTGAAGGCATCAAAAGTCTGATGGCAAGTATCGCAGTGGGAATCCTCAAAGTAATAACAACTGAGGCAGACATCACAAACATCAAACAGCGGTCTGCATCTCTCCTTCCCATATTTCGTGGCACATAAGGTAGATGAATTAAAGCATTCTTTCCACATCCACTTCTGAAAATCTTGATACCTTCTCAAGGCAGCCCTTTTCTCAGTTTCACTTCTGTCGAGCTCAATTCTGAAAGAAGAGGAGCTCTGCGTTGTATCAGAATTCAAAGCACAGACTGTACTTTCAGGGCTGTCAAAACGAGAAGGGAAATCAGGACTAGAATCCATTTCGTCGGCTTCATTTTTAACATGGTTTTTACTCGGGCCTGCATGGTTAGGACAATGTGCATTTTTCCGACCATTCTCCCTGAAGGATGCCTCAATCTTTTGCAACATTAAGCGTAAATGAGATTCCCTAATCCCGCGTGTGTCCAGAGCCGTAACAAGAGCATCAAAGGCCTATACAGACAAAGAATTCAAAATATTATGATCAGAAAGCTCTTAAAAAAACTGAAACAACATGTCAAATCTAGCAAGCATAAAATTTAAGCATGCCAACAAGCAGACAAAAACCTATTACAAATGTGACTTGAGAACCTAAGACATACTGCCAACTGAAACAGCATGTCAAATCTAGCAAGCATAAAAGGATAATAAGTTTCTAACTTTGCTGAGAAGCAAATGATGCCCAACACAACTTTGATTCATGTCAAATGGATGAAGGGTTCAATAATGGTTTATCCTAAAGATATAACGTAATCTGCATAACCAAAAACATTCATTTGTGCAAAAGAAACACCAAACACACACAGACACGTGCCACTGAAACAGATTATAAAAACTGTTAAGCGTTACCCCTTCAGTGTCAATAAGCCTCCAGCTTCCATTGTTCAATTCAATAAAAATTCTGCCTGAACCAGGATCATTTCTTGATGCAGATGCAACAAATTGCCAGTATCGATTATGCCTACGATCTTGACCAAGAGGCAGGGACCTGTATGCATACATCTCTTCTGCTCTATGTGCAATATATGATTTTAACTGTGAGCGTGACCTTTTTGATGCATATGCAAGTTGCTGAGACAAAAAGTTATCAGAACCCATGGAGAAATCTTGGGCTGCTGAGGTCCTTTCAACAGGCACACCATTTAGCTGATTCTGAACACCTTGTGACCCATGGATAGACTTTTGATTTTCTGCAGTGACTGGAGATGCTTCAATGTTTCTGTTATCAACATCCCGTAAGGGACTTTGGCCGTCCTCTACTCCGGTAGCTTGTACTTCAGCTTTGCCTCCCATAAAAGATGGAAAATCTAACCTACCAACATTCTCTTCTTTTAGGCGACTTTTATCCAGCTGTGCCTCTGCCAACATTTGCTTCTTAAGAGCATTTGCAGCTTCTAAGCGATCCTGTTGAATTTTGGTGTCAAATTTAAGTTTTACACAGAAAATACAGCAATACATTGATTTCAAAAACTTGAAGGGAAATATTTACCTCGAGAACAACACGAATGGTGTTTCCTTCATTTGCAACACCAATTAAGGCAACAAGACCTCTAAGACGCTCTTCCACGCTGAGATCAGAATATTCCCCTTCTGTAAGTCCTTGAACCCATGACTCACCTGACTTGCTTTCATCAATCTCCATATTTTCTTGGTCAAGATTACTAGTACTAATATCTACACCTGAAACACACTGTTTTGAGGAAGCACTAGGACAGAATACATCTTTGGAACCAGTGACGGGGGAACATAAAACATCCTTATCAAACTCATTTTTCACAGCAAGTCCAACATCGCCGCATAAACTGTCCTTTCCATTTTCTGAGAAAATAATTACTTCACTGTAATCATCAGGGGATTTCTTTGCAACTGATGGAGTAGCTAAGTCATCAACTTCAGGATCTTCATCAACTTCACATTCAAAGTCTTCGTCTCTTTCAACCTCATCATTTTCAACATCATCTCTTTCAACATCATCGACATCTTCTGCAGCTAAAATTCCATTTTCAAATATCTGAATTTTCTTCCTGGCCGCTGAAAGTACAGCCTCAGCATCAATAGGATCCTTTCTGTAAGCAGCTCGTACACGATATGTTGAAGGAGCTATTCTTTCAAAGAGCTTAGTATCTCTTGTCAAAGCTACAGAAATTGAAGCTTCAGGAGTCTTGCTTGTTGTCAGGTCCCGAAGGCCAGATTTCTTGCAAAAAAAAGAACAGATAATGGACAAATAAAAAGAAATCAGGAATGAGGCACATAAAACCCAATACCAAAAAGACTACTCTTGTCACAAGACTCACAACAGAATTTTTGCTAACAATAAATTTTAGTCACCTGAATCTTTTCTGCAAGATCTAACACTGTTAGTCCCTTATTTCCCTCAAGTGAAAGCACATGAAAAGCTGCAAACTTTACAGTTCCAGGAGTCAACCGGTGTCTAGATCTTCTTGGAGCCAGTAAGCCTTTCTCTTGCATTACTGCAAATGCATTTACAGCTGCGGAACCATTTCGTAGATTAGAAATGGCATCCTGACAACCTTTACCCTGTAATAACAATTGTACGGTGAGTCTTGCAATTTTTAGCAACAAAAGTAAAACAGAAGATACACCAAATCTCTAATGTCTGAATGTACTAATTTGATTGAAGAAAATATACAGAGGAACAGCCACCAATAAGGTGGCTTAACATGAAATATGAACATAAAATGTAGCCGCAATATTAGACTAAGTCTTTGAGCACTGCACTAATACTAGTCGTCAAGCTACGTCTGAATGATATTCATATTGGTTCCTTGTAGTTCTCATTAAGCTAAGTCTGAACTTCGTCATATCGTAGAGTTCAACTCAAAAATCAAACCTAAGCAAAGCCAAACATCTAAGTTTTGATGCTCTTACTTTGAACTAGGATGCCAATTTAACTTGAATTCAAACTACTATCGATACAAACTTCATTTCCTTTTTTCACTACTCTTAACTGATGCAGGAGATAAATAATAAAGAATTGAGAAGGGAACCTCATCCTTATCGGGTGTGTATGACCATGCAATACTCCTTTTCTTCAGCTGTGGCCCAAATCCGGCAGAGAGTGCTAGTTGCCGGAATATTTCAGGCCATGTTAGCAGATTTAAGTGCTGCTGCCAGTTTCGTATATCAAAGCCCCATGCATATGCCTGAAACGAAAGGTAAAATCCAAAATATGAAGAAATATTAGGAAAAAAACAACAAAATGAGCAAACAAAATAACTGCATGCATGAAGAGAGCGGGAGATTACTCCTTCAACAATCTGTGGATGTCCACCTCCAGGATTAGCAGCACCATTTTGATTTATTCCTAATCCAGTAGGAGTCCTTGCAACATCTTCAATATCTTTGATAATCAACCTCAAGAGCAACATGGATCTCTCCTAACAACCTTGAATCCTAATATCAAAATTGTATTTAGTCTATGAGCAGCAGAAAACATATGAAGAACAAATAATTAGAAAGCACACTTTTAAAATAAAATAACTCATTGGTGGCTCACATAGTCATGAAATGCTTGAACAAACTCATCAAGGGTAAAGGGCCATAACTCGAGAACATCAGCGAAGGTAATCAAAAATCTCCAAACCTGTTACCATCACAACATTCAAACATCAGAATCGGAGGCATTAATTCAAATATCAGCAACAAAGAATCTACTACAAGTAACATGCATGCCGGAGAGAACAATTAATTTATAACTACAGACACAAAACTAAAAACCATGAGATCACATACCAATAAGACAGTCACATACACCAAATGATATCAGAACAACATCTTTACAAGTGATAGTTAGTCTCCTCTACTAAATAATTAAGTTCCAGAAAGCATCGTTATGGGTCCACAAAACCTAAAGAATAAAAGCTTATCATCGTTTTTCCACAATAGAACTAGGAAACACATGCAAGACCAGGAAGAAAGAGAAGCACGGTGAAACTATCACAATAGCCAGAGGCTGGACCATAGATATTACTGACCTGTGCAGAAGAAATACTGTACCCATAAATTGTACAAGAATGGTTGATATCAGCATATAAGGTACTTCTAAAAGCTCGTATAATAGGAAAAAGGAAGAACGCACCATGAGAAGGTTACCAATATTCGCCTCTGAATTGATCCACGGCTGAATTGCAAATGGTCTTTTTAATTGCACAGACCTAGGTGGGAATGCAACCAAAGAATCTGAACCATAAAAAATCACGTCATTGAATAAATTTATAGAGTTACTACAGACTGCACATTTTATTTGCTCAATTTAGTACATTAAAAGTCCTGGATCGGTCAGAGTCAAGCTTATTAAACTGAATTCAAGAAGATTCAAAAGATTTAACTTCAAAATTCTCTGAATGCGTGCCAGAGAACATACACCAATTGGGAGGATACTGAATAGAATAGTAGATCACATGGATTTATAAAGGGCTAGAAGTTATAATTTGGTACTCTAAGCAGCCATGTCGAGGTAAGAGAGGTATTCATGTTATCAAGCAATGCCTACCTCTGAATGCATCAAGGTTTTGCAGGGTGTCAAGATCAATAGAAATAATGGAGGACAAACCCTTGCTTGCAGCTGCCAACTCCATTAGTTCTAGTTGCTCATCCTCAATAAGCTCCATAGATTCTTTAGCAAGCCTGCGTGCAGTTGCCTTCTCAAGTGCAGCTTTGCGTCTCACTACCTCTCTCTCTTTGCGAAGCTCTTCCTTCTGCCTCCTTTTCTCAGCCTACACAATAAACCCAGGGGGGTTAAGAATTTATCACGTTATGTTGAAAAATCAAAGATACATCACATATGCATTACATTAGTAAGTCCTCGAACTTACTCTTATATACTCTTTCTGTAAAAACTTTTCCCTTCGTTCAATTTCACGTTTTTGCTCACGCTTTAATCTCTCTTCCTCGCGCTGCCTTTCACGCATCAACCTCTCTTCTTCTTTTCGTCTCTCACGGTCTTGCCTTTCCATTTCCTTCCTCATTCGTTCCTCATTCTATAAACAGAAAATTCAAAATATCAGCATACGAACTGCTATGCTTCAGAAACAATTGTTTAGGACTGAAAATAGAACCTTTCTCCTCAGAATATCTTGTTTCTCCAGCTCCTTCCGGATCCGCAGCTCATGAGCTTCAACTTCTTTAGCGATTCTCACTTCTTCACTCTACAAGGCGCAACTAGTTAAGTCCTTGGCTGAGAAAAAGATACTATTAAAATAAAGTTAACTGCACAAGTATACCTTGCGTTTCCTCTCCATTCTCAGAATAGAGTCATTAATTTGATCTTCAGATAATAAATTAGAGTTTTCCGGAGCAACAACAGGGGGATCACTAAACTGAGTATTTACTCTTACGTTAGTGAAGGAGTCCCTTTGTGGTACGCTTCCATCATCAACAGGAGATGAGTAGGGCACCGCTTGCCTCTCCTGCTGAGACAGAAGACGAACACGCGATGCATGACCATGGACATGAACCCTTGACAACGGCTCATTTCCAACAGCAAATGATGAAGTTCTTGCAGATGGACCATCAATGGCTGAATCGTGAAAATGAGATTGAGAGACTTGTCCATATGCATCAGACCGAATACTGGAGTGATCTTGAAGAAAGGGATATTCATGGAGGGTCCTTGGAGCAGCCTGGGATGAAAACTCATTCTAATTCAATGTTTCATCCAAAAAGAATTGAGGATACATGAGTACATAAACACCGACAATTGCATGCAACAGAAAAAGATAAGAATACCAACAGTACAAAATCAATTTAAATGCATTGGTTCCCACAACAAGGAGGAAAAGGGAATGAAAGGGAGAAACAGTATCCAGACAGTTAATAATGAGTTGTTTTGTTACCAGTCATGAAACTAAACACAACTTTAAATCACCCTTATCAAATTAAACTAAGAAGATTTGGACAAAGATACAAATACTCTTGCTAAGATTTCAAACTCAGACTGCTTGAAGCATGTTCAATCGAATTAGAGTTCTAAAAACTGGCACGAAAACTATAGATACTGCTGCAGTCATCGAACAGTACTCAACTGAGTTGCAAAATAATACCACCAACCCTATGTTCGTCCAACCTCCACAAGGTTATCTTGTGGATTTAAGCTTTGAAGGATGTCACATACTAATAAGAAGGGCAGTACGTGTATACCACTTAATGGCTCGCCAGCATCTTATAGAGCAGATGTTATCATATTGCACATACCATCATACGGTGTATAAAAATAATCAATTTATCAAAGAAAAAGGGACAGACTTTATTTGGTTTTGCATCATGACGCTCATATTTGCCCTCCAAAGCATGGGCAGACCGCTTCTGCTGCTCCGCAACTGCTTCACCAAGTAAATAATCAAAAGGGTTAGCAGGAAACCTAAATGCATACCAAAAAATCATTCAAATAACAGGAAATAATATGCTAGGGTCATAACGTGGCTTTTATCAAGCACTAAATCGTATGTATTTTCACAACTTCTCGGATTCCATTGCATTTACTTTGGGTAAAAGTCTATACTTTTAGACCACCGCAAGATGAGAAAATTTGGAACTCAAAACTTTTTTGCTAAACTACCGTGAAGCATAAAACCTTCAAAGCAAATGTTAATCTTAAACCAAACTAGGAACGAAGTTAAACAAACTAGTAAACTTAATTATCAGAAAAACTGGTTATGTATTGACACATTTAAACATAGCAAAACAAAGTCATGAAAATATTTTCTGTTATCTTATACAAGGGAGCACAAAATACAATATACTCAGAGAAAAATAGACCAACATAAACCCACTAACAAGAATATGCACAAAATTCCCTGCACAATGCTGCAATCCAGTCCCACATAAGTCAAGTACAAGGCATTGCTCAATTGAGCTGTAAAATCAACAAGGCAACCCAGTAATTATACCTATAGGTGCCCCAAATGCATCTGGCGGCAAAGGATCAAACTCTATCCCAAGAAGCGGGCCATTTTCCCTCAATGGTTCTCCCAACTGAGCTTCCACACAAGCAATGGCTCTGAGCTCCAATTTCGACTGCGGCGACTCATAATACCTCCTCCCCCTCATTGGAATGTCATCAGCCACACCCCTAGCCACCACATTCCGCAACTGTGCATGACCAAAGGGGCTTGAGCCGGAGCCAGAGCCCGACCCATAATCACTACCCGGCTCTGAGCCATGAGCCAAATCATCCATAGGAGGCTCAGGCAAAGGGGGTGCCAATTTCCGCTGCTTCTTGGGTGGACCCCCTTCCTTCTTGTCCTTCAACCTTCTGTGACAGAACCACATCTGCAACTGCCGATCGGAAAGCCCTAATCTTTCCGATAGCTCAGCCCTAACCGCCTCCGAAGGGTAGGTATCCACTGACCAAAAACCCAAAAATCAAAACAAAAACTTCAATTTCCCCAGAAATCCAAACCAAAAATTACAAAAAAAAAATAATAATAATAATTGACGGAATCGAACTTACAGGCATATGCTTTCTCGAGGGTTTCGAGCTGAAAGGGGGTCTTCATCTGACGCTTGGGCTTGCTCTGCCCCTCACTGGAATTGTTAAATTTACTATTGCTCTCATGATTTTTGTTCTGATTTTCTCCCTCCGATGCCGCCTCCATTGAAATCGAGACCGAGATCTGGGCTTTCACCGAAAGCTTCCGCCTTTCAATCCCTCAAACCTTCAAACCTCGAAACCCCCGATCCCCAAATTCTCATAAAAAACTGGGTCTTCCAAAGGAATCCGATTTCCTTGTCCTTTCTCTCTCTCTCTCTAAAACTCTCGTTCGTTCTTTCTCTCTCTCTAAAAACAAAATACCGTACCAGTTAAGGAAGACGAGATCGAGAAGAAAAAAGGCGTAGAATTATCATGATGGAATAATAAGAATACGAAGAATAAACATTTATGAATAAATATATGTTGAATTTTTACGGGGATTGAAAAGAAAACACAACAACAAACAATAACATCACTAACAAAAACAATGATTAATATTAATAATATCGAAAAATAGGAAAAGGGAAAATCAGGGGGGCGAGGAACATTATAAAAACAACAACAGCAACAGTAGTCTTTCCTCCTCCCTCTGATTCCAATTCTAATTCCACCACCTTCCATAATATTTGATTTTTCACTTTTTTGTTTCTTAATTTTTTGTGTTTTTTTTAAATTCACATCATGCTACTTTCATGTGAAACGATGACTTTTCAATTTTTAATGTTTGTGTCGTGTGCGTTGGACTCTCAGCTGCTTGTTTTGTTTTGATTTTGCATTTATGTTTTATTTCTTGAATTTTCAGATTTTAAGGTTTTTTTTTTTTTTTTTTTTGCAACAATTTTTAAGGTTCTTTCTTTGTTCTGTTTTCTTCTTTCTTTTCTTTTTTTTTTTTTTTGGTTTTATGTTTATGTTTTTTGTTTTCGTTCAATTAAGTTAATATGTGATTGCATCATATCATCATGTGTGTGCGTGTGTTTATCGAAGGGTTCTTTGTGTTCGTTGGTTTGGATTCTGTGCGTTCGTTGGATGCGATCTTGTCATTGGGTGCGCGATGATCGACCATGTGTTTCTGCTTTCCTCCGTTTGTGGGCCCCGTTTCTGGTTTGTACACCATTGGGCTGGGCTTCCGTGAAGTGGATGATCAGAAAATGGGCTTTCTATATCATCAGCCGGGGCAAGAGAAAGGATTCCAATTTGTCTACTTTGTTTGACAATTCTATTGGAGCGACATATTTTTTTCCCTAAGGTAATTGAGTCGGTAATTTGCCACATCAGTCATTATAGTACAGTTTAGATTAACTTTCGATACAAAGAAGGTAAAAAAAGATAAAACCGAACGCATTCATCAGATCAAGAACCAATACCGTAGATCACATGACATTTGAGGATGGAAATGTATCATTTTGTGACATGTTGATTTTTTTTTTTTTTTTTTTTTTTGTCAATAAGGCCTCATTTGGTGGTTTTAAACTAAACCGGACTTTGTATTTCATATTGATTGTAAATTTACGATCCACGACCCTCACAAGCCATCCATTGTTACGAAAATCCAAATAAGAATAGAAAGAATGGGGAGGAGAAGCAAGAGGGGTGTCGATGGGCTTGTTGATTCGAAGAATTGAAACCCATGTTTAAGGTTTGGTTATGTAATCGCTACTTTTCTAGACAAGTATCTATGATTGTTTGTTTCATAACCACACCGCATAAAGGTGGAAATTCATATCCAATTTGATCCAATCAACCAAAGAAAGTAAGATTCTCTCCCCCTCTCTTTCTCTCACTTTTATCTTTTTCTTTCTATCTCTATAAAGAAGTCAACATAAGATTCATAAGATGTTAACGTGATTTAATCGTGACCATTCAAATCAGAGGATATTGAAGGCTCCCAACCAAACATGCATGGCAAGTTTCTGATCACCAATAAGAAAATGGCCAACTAAAAGCATTTAGTAGAGGGTACAATCCATTCCCAAAATTTGGTGGTTCTCTCCTCTTGAATATCTTGAACCATCTTTTTAAGGACCCCAATAGAACTTGGAGGTCCTTATCCTCACCCTTGCTTGAGTGGCTAAATCTTAGATTATTCTTCATTCCTCAAAGAAAAGTGAATTTTAGGTTCCATGAGGTGAACCTCACGCCTCGCACCTAGATTGGGCTTCCATTGGACTCCTCGGCCACGCCCGTCTTTTAATTCATTGTGTAGAAATAAGGTGAATTGCATGACTTTAATGAGAGGATGAAGTCGCGTAAACAAAAAACATGATAGAGAAGTAATTAAAACATTATCTAGAATCTCATGAGACCATTACAAATTAGAATGTCTTGTACTCTCAATCAATGGGGAAAAAAAAGGGCAGGGGGGGGGGGGCGGCGGAGGAGGAAAAGAAACAAACTATGACATAGATAACAGATACTCAATTTGCAATTTCTTCTGAAGGGAATTTACGAAATTTACAATGCATGGTTCCCTCCATGTCCGTTCTTCATTCCGTCTCATGCCGCTTTTCCTTGCTGGATTTTCAGGAAAGAAAATGAAAAATGCATTAGCTAACTGAGAAAAATGTGAGCAGAAGTGCTTCCTACATAAGCAGTCCCAAGCGGGTTCTAATACTAGTTTAAAGGCAACTCCAAACATGCACGATTGCAGACATTGGATGCAAGAGTAGATTGCATGTACTATATACTTAGCTATATCTGACTCACTCGTTTCTCTTCTTCTATCTTGGCCTTGAGGTAAGAGTAGATTGCCACTCCTGCAATTGCAATGGCAGTTCCAATACCGGTTTGTGTTGAAATCTTGTTACCTGCGAGCAGCAGAACATAAAAGAGTCAAGTTTTCATTGATCTAAAAACGAAGTTGAAGATTGTCAGACATAAAATCATTACCAAAGATCACGATCGAGAAGCCAATCACAAACACACGCTTCAGCACGTTTCCAACTGCGTGCGTAAGAGGCGCCACTCTCTCCAGGGTGTTGGTGGCCAACTGAGAATTTGGAAAAACATAAACCGTTCGTATGATTTCATAACAATTGAATTCAAGTGAGAAGATTATGCTACTACACATGTACCTGGTTATAGAGATGGTAAAACAATCCAACCCAGAAGAGATCGGTGACGAACTTGACGAGTCCTACTTTAGCAATTGCATCATTGAAGCCATACTTGATCAGTTGAGGTCCCTCTAACTGTTGATGAGAGACGAGAGACGGAATTCATCAAAATTATTATTTCAGTTGCAGAATCAAACTTCCAGGAGTCTCAAGAGAAGTATACTCACGATGAGAGCGGGTGGAATGCAGACGATGAGTGCAATGATTGAAATATAAGCATAGAGATTTGTACTATCCATATCAGTCTGCAGAAATAACAAAAGAAGTTATATAAAGAGGAAAAGTTAACTTGGAGAATTCAAAACGTAAAGTTTTAGAGAAGGAAAACTGACCATGGCTTTCTTTGAATAGATACTCCTGTAAGTGAAGGAGATATTTGAAATCATAGCACTAATGAAGCCAAGCCAGTTGAAAGACAACTCAGTCAGCGATGCCATCGACACACCTGCATTTTAAAACCATGGAAATACCAACTTACGGGATACTAAATTTATATATGTTCGGAGAAATGATTCATTGAAATAATGAGTCGCACATTGATATCAACACATTTGGTTAAATCTCGGATAATACGATTACAACTGAATGAACATAAACAGAAGAGCATACCAATAACAACAGGAGCCAGGGACAGCCATAGAGACAAGGGGATTGATTGTCCGAGGACAAATTGCGAAGCAGAAGCATTGAAGAATGGCTCAAGAGCTGAAACAAATAAATCCAACGTTAATGCACCGTTAACTTTATAGTCATTTGTTCTTCTTCGAAATCTGTTGGATCATAAATTTGTGCTCTCACCTTTGATTGTATGTGTGAAGGAGACAGCAACGGCTGCAAACGAGACGTTGCTGGTGACGTGGCCAAGTGCATGGCACACTGCCACTGGGATGAGCAGCTTCAAGAGGTTTGCATCAATGGGCTACATGGAGAGAAAACACAAGTCACATTTCAAGTGAACCAGACACAGATTTGCAAACGTGAGTTAGGTCAGTTTGCCCGTCCTAACTCTCGAATTCAAATCCCCCCTTTATTTATTGAAGTGGTTCACTTACAGCGCGTTTGGGAAGTCCCACTGCCCAGCTGATCAAACAGTACACTACTCCGACGCCCAAGTGCACGACCGACACAAAACTGCACCCACACACAACAAAAACTCATTTCTTCAGAAGAAGCCGGAACTTAAAATAACTAGAACAGGCATGGGATATGTTATTATGACCGTATTTTAAGCTAATTGTACACTATCATATAATTAGCTTCTTCACATAACACCGTATGATTTAAAATATAGCACAGTAACATCTCGATGCAGGAAACGATTTAGCTTTTTCGCATAACATTGCATGATCTAAAATACAACACAGTAAAATCTCGTTGCATGAAAACATTTAGATAGTGTATGATTTGAAATGTAGCACAGTAATATCTTGTTGCATAAGAGCAAGTCCACCCCTAAAAAATGAGATGGCCCAAAGTTCATTTAATCCACGCAAATGAATAGTAATTGACTTGATTGACCAGTAATTGCCCAAGTGCATCTTCACTTCTAAAAAATGAGATGGCCCAAAGTTTAATCAATTTGTATTAAAATATTATTATTTTTTTTTATAAAATAATAAAAAAAATTATTTTTTATTTCGAATAAAAATTTTAACCAATTTTGTCACATCATTTTTCATTTTCCAAAAGTATAATTTCTGTAGAAGATGGTTAGGTATTTATATAAAAAAATCGTTAATTTTTTTTCTATATTTTAAAACATTTTTAATTATTTTTTATTAAGTTAATTAATATAGAAAAAAATAATTAAAAATAATTATTTTTAATTATTTTGAGTAATCATTGTGTATGGAATATATTTTGAGTAAGTGGACATATGGCTCACGGTGAGATTTTGACATTACATTTTTTTTTAAGTCTGGAACGCGCGCCCATGCATGAGTGTATCCCACGTGCCAACCGCAAAAAAAAAAAAAAAAAAAGTCGTGACTGACGTCAACATGACGTCAGATAGGCCGGTTCCTCACTCAGCCAATTTTGAGCCGGCCTAGAGACTGGGATGAACATTGGGCCGGTCTATTTTGGATAAAGTGGATTTTTAGGGTGCCGACCTATTTTTTTAGACTTTAGACCAGCCTTCAAAAGAGGAGTTGACTTGCTCTAAATCACTTAAGCTTTCTCGCACAGCAGTATATAAATTAATATAGCACTGTAACATCTAGTTGTATTAAAAAATCGAAAATGGTACACTTACTATGGATACGGAAAGTAATTGTAGATCTTCTTGTTCATGATGTTGAAAATTACGTTCAAAAAATACCTGCAAACCAAGGACAAATCCGTAATTCCATACACAATGATTACTCAAAATATATATACAAATAAAATCAAAGGTATTTTCATATGGCTCTCAAATAACTAAAAATTAGGCTTATTTAAAAAATAAATGTATAAAATTTGACTTATTTCAATTTTTTTCTAATTCAAATTAAATATAAACTGTTTCAATAATTTCTAATAAGCCGTTAAATTGTAGGTGAAGCGCGCGAGTCCGTACCACATGAAGAAGAAGAAGCCGGTGAGGATAAACGGGTACTTGTCGAAGAACCCGATCGGCGCCACCTTCGCGTCACTGTAACACCACCGAGTCAGAAGGAACCGGCAAAAAACACACACCAAAAAAACTCATTAGTACGGAGGCTGACGCGGGCGAGTCAGACGAGTCAGAACGGAGGAGACGGACCTCACCCGGCGGAATCTCCTTGAGCCGGCGACGAGGCCGCGGCGAGGCACGGTTTGAGAATCTCCCTCTTTATCGGGGACGCCTCGAGCAGCAGCGCCGGGCGGAGCTGCCTCCCCCATATGAGGTTCCCGCCCTCGCTCACGGCCCCTATCGGCCGGGCCGAGACGAACGAGACGGCGCCGTTTTCTCTGTGGGATGGCTTGCGCTGGCAGGGTAGCGGTGCGAATGCGGTGGCGCGTGACAACACTCGCGACTCCATGATTGGTAGGGAAAGCAGGAGGATAACTGATTGGCTGAGAGGGAGTGGGGAATGTGAATTGGGAAGATACAGGGAGCTCTTATTAGTTGTTCTGAGGAGAGCACGGATAGAGAACGAAACGAATCGTTTTGGAAGCAGAACTTTTGGTTTCTCTTCGCTTGGTTAGGATCTTGTACGAGGCGGAGCACGTTAGTCAAGTACATCCGCCGGTGTGATTAAGTGAGGGTTGGTTTGAAATTACTTTAGGTAGCACTGCGTCCAGAGAGATTTGGATTTGGACCACTAAATTCCGATCTTATGGGTCTTCATTAGTTTATTTCATTAGCCCACTTCACAAAAACTCAAAAAAATTAACAGTTCGAATCTCTTTCTCTCTCTTCAACATACTAAATTTCTCGATTCGCAAGTTTCGGACATAGAGATTCAAAATGGATCACATTCCATGTAGCACCTATGCTTATAAGAGCTTAATTAGGTGACTGCACTATGTTCAAGGTGTTTTTGTTACAAACACATTCAATCCAAATGTGCATATAACCTCTTTTACGACCAACTGCATTTCCAATTCAAGTACTCATTTGCATTTACATGTACATTAGAATTGTAATCCTAAAAATATATCAAAAATATATTCAAATGAGATGCGCTTTTCCACAAAATTTTAATATGCTAGAAGCGTTTTCTAAAGAGGTATAGTCATTGTTTTTTAAGAAAGTACTTGTATAATCCAAAACCGTTTTTAACTTCTTTTAAGAATCACAATCAAAATTGATTTGATTGTTAATTACGCTTTTAGTTATTTTACAAGCGGTCTTAAATAATTTTGAAGAGGTCTGAGTTGTTGAATGGTGATAGGATGGGAGGAGGAATATGGGGCACTATGGTGGGGGTGGATAGAGAACGAGAGTGACATATGGGGATGTGAACTGAGAGAGGCGAGGGGGCCCTGCTTATCCCCAGCGTAAGGCGTAGGAGCGACGGGGATGGGTGTGTCTTCGATCGCCTTATCGTTTGCGTTTACGTAATTCCCTTTCCTCTGTGAGCTGTGAATCCTTTTGCTCCTCTCACCTGTTTGTCACGGGCACCAAATTGTTGGAACAAAAAGCTTATAAAAGCTTTTGATGATTTTTGTGCAACAACTAGTCCACTTACCAAAAAAATATCTGATCGACCAAAAGGCTCACAATTTATTCACTTTAAGGTACACATTGATTCTTTATAGCTTCGATTTTTGGGCTCTAAGTATGCAGGTTGACAAACCCGACGTTGTAACTCTAATGTAAGTTCAAAGCGACAATTTACGCTCGATAATAGTCAATTATTTTAATATATGAGATCAAAGTTGAAGAAAATTGAGTAACAGTGAAGTTTTATCAAAGCGTTTGATTTGAAAAGAGAAAATTGTAGCAATAGTTAATCAATTAAAAATCTCTTACCATTTGTCCTTTAACTCATCAAAACGTGTAGTTATTGCTCCTTTTGTCAATTTCGTAAGAATTCCGTCAAAATAAGTTATGTAGGAAAGAACATTTCTACAATTCGGTTAAGGTCAAGGAACTACTTATCCAATTGAATTAAAGTTGAAGGACTTTTTCTATAATTTTTCACATTTGGATTTTATATTTGCCCATTGGTTCAACCTTACGTGTATAACATGTGAGTCATTTTGACGGAAATTCTAATGAAATTGACGAAAATGACTATAGCTGCATATTTTGATGAGTTAAGAGACTAATGATCACAGATTTTTAGTTGTAATGATCATTGCTAAAATTGTGTTAAAGTTGAAAGATCATTGCTACTATTTACTCGTTTGAAAACCCATACGACGGTGACAAAAGTCACCTCACCATTTGTTGGGCCTATAACAGACATGACCCAACAGAATCGTAGATCGACCCGATCCATATCCGACATGACCTTTAAACAATTGGGCCTGATTCAAATATTTCATGTCTCGATCCAAATTCGTAAATTGGCATCCAGTCTTCGCGCCGCCGCCGTCAAAAGCCCCTCCGCTAAGTATCACCACTCATAGACCGCAACGGGACGGCAAAAATACACCGAATCAGAAGGAGAAAAACAATTTCTCTACAAGCAATCAGCCGAAGAGGTAGCTACTCCTTGTATTTGAGTTAAATTCATACTTTTTCCCGCGAAATTCTTGTGTGATGTATGGCGACCCGAATCTGTTTGATGAAATGCCTCAGAGAGTTTAGACCAAATGTAATAGCTTGAATTTTGGTGCTAATTGATTCATATTGTTCGTGGGTAGTTTTGTTTTGATCCAGAGATTTGCGTGGAACCGTTTCTTGTGCAAATTGAAGCTTAATTTGGAGTGGGAATTATTGCCATTACTGAGAGAGAGTTGGTGGGAATAATGGGAAGTAAAACTTTGTTCAAATGGTCAAAACAAATCACGACTTCCCAAGTTGGGCAGCTGATAAAAGCTGAAAAGGACTTGCAGAAAGCTGTTCTCGTTTTCGATTCGGCAACAGCCGAATACACCAATGGTTTCCGGCATGATCACACCACATTTGGTCTCATGGTCTCTCGGTTAGTCTCCGCGAACCAGTTCAGGTCCGCGGAGGCGTTACTCGATAGGATGAAGGAGGAGAAGTGTAGTGTTACTGAAGATATATTCCTCTCTGTTTGCAGAGGGTACGGCCGCGTTCACAGGCCGCTGGATGCCGTGAGGGTCTTCCACAAGATGGAGGACTTTCAGTGTAAACCAACCCAAAAATCTTACATTACCATACTTGGCATTCTTGTTGAAGAAAACCAGTTAAAGATTGCTTTCAAGTTCTATAAGTATATGAGAGAAACTGGCATTCCAGCTACTGTTATTTCGCTTAATATTTTGATCAAAGCCCTTTGTAAGAACAGTAATTCTATGGATTCAGCTCTTCGAATATTCCGCGAGATGCCCAATAAGGGGTGCACCCCAGATTCGTATACGTATGGTACTTTGATCAATGGATTGTGTAGGATGGGAAAGATTGGGGAAGCAAAGGAGCTATTCAAGGAGATGGGAACAAAAGGTTGTTTGCCCTCTGTTGTTACTTATACTTCCTTGATACATGGTTTGTGTCAATCTAAGAACTTGGATGAAGCTATGGGATTGTTTGAAGACATGTCAAGCAAAGGTATTACTCCAAACGTGTTTACTTATAGCTCTTTGATGGATGGGTTTTGCAAGGGTGGGCGTTCTGGACAAGCAATGGCACTATTAGACTTAATGGTTAGCAAGCACCATAAGCCGAACATAATCACATATAGTACTTTGCTTCATGGACTCTGTGAAGAAGGAAAGCTTCAAGAAGCTACAGAGATTCTTGACAGGATGAAACTCCAAGGCTTGAAACCAGATGCAGGGCTTTATGGGAAAGTAATAAGTGGATTTTGCAATGTATTCAAGTTCAAGGAAGCTGCAAACTTTCTTGATGAGATGGTCCTTGGCGGAGTCACCCCTAACAGATTAACCTGGGGCCTTCTTGTTAGGATTCATAATGCAGTGGTTCAGGGCTTGTGTAGTAGCGGTGATCAAAACCGAGCTTTTCAACTGTATCTTTGCATGCGTACGAGGGGTATCTCAATTGATATGAAGACTTTTTATATTTTAGTGAAATGTATATCTCAGAAAGGAGACCTGCACAAAGCTTATCGAATTGTTGAAGAGATGGTGCTTGATGGATGTGTCCCCGATGAGGGAATATGGAGTGCCATGGTGGATGGTTTTTGGAATCGCAAGAAGGTGCGTGAACCTGCTGAGTTGTTGCAGGCTGAGCTGATGACTGAAGTGGTTGAGCCTGAGACACTAATCTGAAAGTTGTGAGCTAGTAAGTGCTCTTGCACACGTTTCATTTTCTTCATTCTTATTATGAAAACTTGTCCTGCGAATTGCTTTTCTTTTTAAGAAACTATACATTTCCGGCTCAAAAAAATGACAAGTTGCCTGACACATGATTTGTAAAGCACTTTCTGGGGATGATGTTGTTGTTGACCGACAATCTTGAAGTGAACTACTCTTTTCATTGTCTGGCATTATAACACATAGGCTCATGCCATCCGCATTACATCCTTCGTTTTTGTCTTTTGGCCAACAAGGTGCCACCCTTGTTCGTTATGGATTTAATAGATTCATATCACTGTTGTCTTTTTCGAGTTTGTGGAATTTATGGATTTAATTTATAGACAGTGTTCCAGTTATTTACATACCTGACTCATGCAATACAGGAGATGTACTACAATCTTTGGCGCATAAGATAAGAGAAATCATTATTTTCTTACTCGGTACCTCAAACGATATTCGTAATTATTTGATTAAGAGTTGAGATGTTTAAAAGTTCTCTTTCAATGTGCCATGGACTTTTGAACTGGAATTTACAAACAAAGAGAATCGTCATATGACCGGCATTTACAGAACTTGGAGGAAGCCGGGATGGAAGAAAGAATAATTAAGGTTGTATGTGCGGGGTTTTACAGTTTTAAGTAGCATGCAGGCAAATATGAACTGATCAAGCAAAAGAGGAGTTGCTAATTTGCAGAGAGGGGGAAGCCCATTCCGTGGCGCTTGGTTGGAAACACAACAAACAACATACTGCAAATGACGCCAATGCCAACTGGCAATGCTGTGAGTACCTCCTGAGCCTCATCTGACGGCATTGGATAGAAGCAATTCACTACATTCTGATCAAAAAGTGCAACAGCTGTGAATACAAGTATTGACATGAATGCATGGAGGAAATCTATAAACTGCAGATGGAAATTTGCAGCGACTTCAGTTGATATGTTGGCTGACCCATCAATGATCCATAAGCCTTTGAATGTAGCAAACCCATAACAGACATTTCCTTTATTGTCCCTTAAGCTGTCAGTGAAACTCAGTAGAAAACATGAAGCCCCACAGAGGGCCACAAGGCCAGCAGTCATGGACCGGCTGACTGAGTCACAGTTGCCCTGGTTTGTAAATATGGGTGCCAGAAGCTGAAATGCAAGAACTGTTCCCGTAGGCAAAAGATTGGCCAAATGAGCCATGCTCTGAAATGTCTGGCGAATTGCTTTCTGTATCAGCGTTCTTTGCTCTTCTGTCACTGATTTTGGTGCATCTTGCAAGAGGGGAAGTTTCTGATCCTCATCATGCAGGTGTCGGGATGCCTCAGCTTTTATCTTGATCTCCATCGACCAGAAACGTTTGATAAGCTTCTTTTCCCTTAATGTTTTTCGTCTCTCCTCTCAGTTATAGCATTTTGCTTTGTGAGGAACAATGTTATATAAATAGGAATAGAAATGAAACTTGAGTGGAGGTAAAGGGAGGGAAAGAGTAGTTAGCCATGCCTTGCAAGGAAGAGAAACCTAAAACTGGAACTGAATTTTAGATAAAGCAGCTAGCAGAAATCGGAAGGGAGAGTTTTGGTTTCTTGCTTTTGTTTTTCGCTAACTGTCCATGAATCTCTGATGACTCGTTATAGACCATGCTCTTTAGAGTAGTCATAAGGGGGAGAAAATTCTCTTTTAACCAAGATCACATGCATTCAGATACGAAGGCTTACAACAACGAAAGCATGTCCAATAGAAAGTGAATCACCCCGTCCAATAAACGCTGACCACATGGTGATTTGGTAACGAGAGTATCTCCACAAAGGGGGGATCAAGTACAAAGAAATTTGGGAGCCTTTTTTGGTTGCTGAAACGCAATGCGCATTGGTTTGAGGCAAGCTTCACAAGAGGTATTGTTTACAATTATATTATTATTATTGCTAATTTTAGAAGTGGGGACTCACAATTATTTGTTATTTTAGGCTTTTGCTTTTGTGGGTTTTGCTTGGAAACATGAATGTCTGGACTCTGGTTTGGATGAGATAGGGAGGTTTGGTCATACATTGGGTCATATTATACTCAATACTACCTTGCACGTTATATTACTTGATAAACGGGCGTGAAAATTGTCTTGGAGCTAAATCTTGCCACCAAAAAAGCCCCACATTTTCATTTTGGACTTTCTAGAGGTTCGATACGAGGTGATTTTCGCACTTTCCATTTTTCTCTCTGTACTCCCTTTATTTCTAGACTCTAGAAGGGTATTCAAAAGATAAAAACGAGAAGAGAAAACAAGAGTGCGAAAATCACTACTCTTCAGTGAGGACTTGTTATGGAAATGGTTGGGAGAGTTGTCCTCCATGACTAGGACTAGGACCTAAAAACCTGCCCATTACTAAAAGGCCCAAGGCATCTCATAAAATAGCCACTGGGGTGCTCACACTGAGCTCAAGATACCCATTACATTGCCTTTGTTGAGTGTTTACCTAGTCTTACGTCGAACATGAAATTTTTTTTGTACGGGTATTATTCTAGCCGGGCCATCAAGTTGTTTGGATAAACCATCATTGAACCATGCATGGCAATTTGGCATGCATCGCCAAATGCGAGGGTTGCTTCGGCTGAAAGTAGCCGTTATAGACAAGAAAGGTCATGGCCCCGCGCATTACCCTTTTAGCTTTCTTCATCACTTTTTTTCCCAAGTGATTAGTCCTAGCTTGTGGCTTGTAGCTTCATAGCCTGCTTTTTGAGGAATTGAGATTCTTTTCGGATTTCTGTGTTATGAGTAGTCGGACTCGGAAATCTAGGCCATTTAAGAGAGGAAAAGTGAGATTTAGGCTGTTCAAATACTTCATTCTCTGTGAGGTGGGCAAGTGAGATTGGCTAATGAAGACTGCATAATTTAAATTGAGCAGTCTATATTTTTGTGTCCGGCAACTCTAGACATAGTAATCTGAAGAGGATCTCAACTGCTTTTTGCGATGGCATCCGTTACAAACTCAATTATAAATGCACATTTTAGCCGTCACTAGTTATACAGTTTAGTTATGTTTATTCTTCCTTATTTGTAGAAGGTCTCAAATTCAAACTCACATGGATTACCAATTCGATACCAAATACCTCTCAAAATATAAATATTATGGTATTAAAAAATTTGCATTTCAACTCGAATATCTTAAAGGTAAAAAGAATCCCACTTAAAATATATATTTAAATTGCATATCTGAGTTAAGTCAGTTAATCAGTTAGAACAATATGTATGTATCTTGCACCTGAATTTGAATCGAGAAATCACACTTTTTTTTTTTCTTTGAAGAATCTTTGAGTTATTAGATTGCAGATTCTGGTCCAAAACTGTTTACCAGCTACAACTATGCAGCTGCTTTAATCCTATAAATAACAATTTCTAACTGTAATTACCAAACCAATACTAGCATCTAGCTCTTCCCTTTATTTTTTTATTTTTTATTTTATCGAATTCCATGATGACCAGCAACCCCTACTTCCTACTCCTCCAATGATTTCCAGATTGTGAAATAATTACCCCATCAAAACTGGACCCAGATACTTATAATTTTGTTTCTTTAGGACATTCAACAATGCATGGAAGAAAATGTAACATATCCTGTCAAATATATAATTAAAAAGGTTTTTTCTAGTACATTTTAAAGGTGACCCCATTTATTTATAAACATACCCTACAAATGCAGAAGCAAATGATCATTTGGAGAGAAAGAGATACCAGGTGCGTGTTCTGAATGATGTTTCTGGGTGTGCGACGATGAATTCTCAACTTTTACTTAACAAATGATGGCTCGCCATAGCCAATGGCACAAACAAGCATGCAGAGATATATGATCATGGCAAGGAAAGATTTTACGTACCTTTCCCTTCCTTTTTACTAATTCATAGCTTCAAACTTTTGTTGGGTTGTTTGTTTCACCTTCTTGCAGTTTTCAGTACCAATTGATTTTGTTTCTGCTTTTTCCCTAATTTCAATGATGCTATGTTTCCATGAGAATGCTTTTATGAATATGCAGTGGAAAAAGAAAACCTACAACGAACAAGGATACAGGAATACATCAAATTAACAAAAAAAATTGTTGTAGACCATAAAGGAATACAATACGACACGAAAATACGAAAAAATACTATTGTGTCCATGCATCTTAAAAGAAACCCAAAATTTTTATATTCTTAAGTAACAATCGACAACTTGGCTCCTTTCCTATATTTGTGAGAAATCAAATTTTATATAGTGTCTACGAAGAGAAAGAAAAGAAAAAAATATTGCAGTTGGTAAATAAATTATTCAACGTATAAAATTGATAAATCAGAGTAGAATAGAATACGATTCAAAGTAATAGATTATGCAAAGACAAGATAAGAATGCGTGCAACATATGCGACATCTGTTCCTACTAGGTTAGTCGATATAATCCATTTCTTATTAGATTTAAGTATTAAATTTAGTAGATTAACTTAGCAGATTAAGTAGTAATTAAGCTTTTAGCTTACTGGAATGGCCGTGCCTTGAAATTTCATTCTCTTCCAGTTTTTATATAATATGCATGTCAGCTTCTGTCTTGCATGATTCTATATTGCAAAGGCCAGAGGGTAGTCATGCATCAATCACTCTTCCCACGTCAATTCTCTCTCTCTCTCTCCCCCCCCCCCTTTTTCTTTGATTTTTCGACTGCAAGAATCTCTCCACTGGCGGGGTCGTCCTCCATTTGCCTCGCCAATGGCTGTAATAAAAACCAGCCTTCGAGTTTGAGGAAGAGTAACAACAAAGTAATAAGACCCGTGACTCCATTTACTTGATCACTACATTAAGTCACTATATCGGTCTTTATCTGTCAATAATCTCTCAATTCTCACCCCCACTACTACCCTACCACTACTGACTACTCTAGGGTTCAAATTAATTTTCACATCACCTTGGTGTGGGCACGAGATTAAAAGTCTTTCTGATGGAACTATATGATGTATATTTTGCTTGACTAAATCAGTTAGAACAATGCTAACTAGAGTTTATTGAGTTGGTCAGGGTCGTTCTCTTTGCTAGATCAAGGTTTAGATTCGAGTCTTGCTGCTTGTAATTCCTCTTAGTGAGCTAAAGGGGCTAAAACCCCATTTTAAGTCCTTAAAGGATTTGTGATATGCCCCGACTGCTGGCCCTGAGATGGGCAGTCTTCCTTCCCCCTAATTTTTGTTACCAAGAAAAATTTAGTTAGAACAATATGTTTTCGTCTATACACTCAAATTTTAACTTATTTCTTTATTATACGCGTATATTTGTTATTGACACCAAGCTTGATTTCTATAATTAAAGAAGTGACATTGATACGATATAATCATTTTTCTTTGTCAAATGATAGAATTTGTTAGCTTAGATGTTAGATTAGACATCGACGGGGTTTGAACCCGCGCCGTCATGCAATGATTCAATTCTTTTCCACCACTGTAGTAAATGACCACTTATTTAGTTATAGTGTGGCCAGTTTAAAGTCAGAAGAGTATGAAATCAAACCTTCAATTAAATCTGCTTTCGTACTTAAATTTCAAACAATTGCTGTAATTACGCTCCATAAGTGATCATTGATCAACTTTCATAATCAACCTCCAAGAAAGATCGCTTTCTAGACAATGCATACTAAGGAAGAAATCAAGGAAACTATATATGAACGTAAGCTATTACTCCAAATTATACTAGGAAGCCAGACGCGGGCGGAATTTGTCTTTACATAAATAAATACATGTGAGATCTACATGCATCAATCACTTTGAACCGGCCACACTATCACATATGATTAACCCTAGTATTGTTATGGGAGATGTGTGTGAGAATATGAAGGTAAAAAAGTCTCACATAGGTGAAAGGTGAAATCTTATACAAGGACTTATAAGAAATTGAGTTACTTCTTATATTGCCGATTGGTTTGTGATGAAACCTCAACTTTCTTTATGATACCATAATATGTTGACCCACGTATGAAGCACAACATCCACACGTGCTATATTAGGCCTGGCAATTCCTGACACGACCCGATAACCCGACACGACACGACACGAAATTAACAGGTGTTCGAGTCGACACGATAACGAAACGGGTCGTTATCGGGTAACCCGATAAGCACCTGTTAAGATAACGGGTTTGTTCGGGTATACACGTGGGTAACACGATACACGATAAGCAGAATATTAATTTAATAATTTATAACCCTAAAAAAATACTATAATAATTATATATATATATTAATTTAACAATTTTATACCCCTAAAAACTATAATAATTATATATATATATATATATATATATTATATTAACTATAATAATTATACCCAAAATATTAACTATAATAATTTATATATATATAATATATATAATTAAATTTTATACCCTAAAAACTATAATAATTATACATACAAAATAAATAGATTTAAATCTACTTAATAAATAAATACATATATACACACACACACACCATTGAACTTCATGGGATACGAATTATACGACGAAACTAATTTCAACGATCCAACCGTCAAACATGTTTGTATATACTTCGAGATCGCATACATCAAAAATTGCAAAAAACAAACATTCAGAGATCAAGTAACGGGACAAAACTTTTCGACGGTTATAAACAAAACATCACGATTTAACGATCATTTTAACTCCGATTTTGATGATTTTTTACAAACACACTCCTTGACCCTATATGAATACAATGATTGAATTCGATCTTCAATTTAAAATATTTACACTAGTGGATACCACAAAATCTTATGTTATACTTAATAAAAGTATGAATAAACTCTTAAGTATTAGTGAATCTATTGTTTTGATGGGACACTCATTCTACAAAACTAGTTTCAATGATCCAACCGTCAAACATGTTTGTATATACTTCGAGATCGCATACGCTAAAAATTGCAAAAAAAAAACATTCAGAGATCAAGTAACGGGACAAACGTTTTCGACGGTTATAAACGAAAAATCACGATTTAACGGTTATTTTAACTCCGATTTTGATGATTTTTGACAACTACACTCCTTGACCCTATATGAATACAAGTAATGAATTCGATCTTCAATTTAAAATATTTACACTAGTGGATACCACAAAATCTTATGTTATACTTAATAAAAGTATGAATAAACTATTAAATATTAGTGAATCTATTGTTTTTGATGGGATACTCATTCTACGAAACTAGTTTCAAAGATCCAACCGTCAAACATGTTTGTATATACTTCGAGATCGCATACGTCAAAAATTGTAAAAAACAAACATTCAGAGATCAAGTAACGGGACAAAACTTTTCGACGGTTATAAACGAAAAATCATGATTTAACGGTCATTTTAACTCCGATTTTGATGATTTTTTACAACCCCACTCCTTGACCCTATATGAATACAATGATTGAATTCGATCTTCAATTTAAAATATTTACACTAGTGGATACCACAAAATCTTATGTTATACTTAATAAAAGTATGAAAAAACTCTTAAGTATTACTGAATCTATTGTTTTGATGGCATACTCATTCTACAAAACTATTTTCAATGATCCAACCGTCAAACATGTTTGTATATACTTCGAGATCGCATATGCCAAAAATTGCAAAAAACAAACATTCAGAGATCAAGTAACAGGACAAAAGTTTTCAACGGTTATAAACGAAAAATCACGATTTAACGGTTATTTTAACTCCGATTTTGATGATTTTTGACAACTACACTCCTTGACCCTATATGAATACAAGTAATGAATTCGATCTTCAATTTAAAATATTTACACTAGTGGATACCACAAAATCTTATGTTATACTTAATAAAAGTATGAATAAACTATTAAGTATTAGTGAATCTATTGTTTTGATGGGACACTCATTCTACGAAACTAGTTTTAAAGATCCAACCGTCAAACATGTTTGTATATATTTCGAGATCGCATACGTCAAAAATTACAAAAAACAAACATTCAGAGATCAGTTAACGGGACAAAACTTTTCGACGGTTATAAACGAAAAATCACGATTTAACGGTCATTTTAACTCTGATTTTGATGATTTTTTACAACCACACTCCTTGATCATATATGAATACAACGATTGAATTCGATTTTCAATTTAAAATATTTACACTAGTGGATACCACAAAATCTTATATTATACTTAATAAAAGTATGAATAAACAATTAAGTATTAGTGAATCTATTGTTTTGATGAGATACTCATTCTACGAAACTAGTTTCAATGATCCAACCGTCAAACATGTTTATATATACTTCGAGATCGCATACGCCAAAAAGTGAAAAAAACAAACATTCAGAGATCAAGTAACGGGACAAAAGTTTTCGACGGTTATAAACGAAAAATCACGATTTAACGGTCATTTTAACTTCGATTTTGATGATTTTTTACAACTACACTCCTTGACCCTATATGAATACAATGATTGAATTCGATCTTCAATTTAAAATATTTACACTAGTGGATACCACAAAATCTTATGTTATACTTAATAAAAGTATGAATAAACTCTTAAGTATTAGTGAATCTATTGTTTTGATGAGATACTCATTCTACGAAACTAGTTTCAATGATCCAACCGTCAAACATGTTTGTATATATTTCGAGATCGCATACGCAAAAAATTGCAAAAAACAAACATTTAGAGAGCAAGTAACGGGACAAAACTTTTCGACAGTTATAAACGAAAAATCACGATTTAACGGTTAATTTAACTCCGATTTTGATGATTTTTTACAACTACACTCCTTGACCTTATATGAATACAATGATTGAATTCGATCTTCAATTTAAAATATTTACACTAGTGGATACCACAAAATCTTATGTTTATACTTAATAAAAGTATGGTATAGTACTATTGTTTTATTTTTTTTCATAATTATTTTGGTAAACTTCTCATAATTTGAATGATTTTTAATGTTTGGTTTTTCTATGCTTAGTTTATGCAGAAGAGAGTTATGACGTGGAAAACCTTACTG